TACCCCCTTAGAGAACCCCACTGTTCTCTAATTCTGCTTCTATTGCAGTCAAAATTGCCAGGGCTAGGTTATTAATGGTACAATTGTTGCAATTGCTCCAGGCCTCTCAGTGTCTAGGGCCCTGATCTCGGAATCTCCTGATGTTTGTGTGGTCTCCTGTGCTTTGTGTTTTACTTGAGTGATGGATAAAAAGGCAGAGGATTAGTCTCCCTCGAGTTACAGAACTGAAAATGGGTTCCCGCATGGAAGATATTTATGCTGCTGCCCATTGTACTTTGAATGTATATAGGTATTTATATAATCTCCATACCACAGCTCCTAGAATAGTTCACATATTTGTAGAGAAGGGGCCCTAGTTTTGGAACTATTCCAGAGCCTCAACCATTTTAATCTAACCTTGGCAATTGCACAAAAGGCTTTGGGACCTAGGGACTTTCAGATGTGTTGACCAGCCTACAATTCCCAGAATCTCACAGTCAGCACATCTGGAAAACACTAGGCTGGGGAAGGCTGTCCAGGAGCAATGGTAAGTCAGTGTGGACAATCACAGCTGCCAGATACTCTTCAGAGATGCATCATGACACTTCCACACTCCTCCTGTGATAGCACATCTGAGGCTGTAAAGAGCTAAAATAAATAAGAGATGGAGGCAGGAGATGATCATCAGATGTGACCCTAGAAGTGTGAGTCATTTGCATTTCTTCCGCCCTTGGTTAAAATCTGAATGCACTTTGCGACTCTTGGTTTTGTTTTCATAGTCATTTCTGGAAAAGATGAGTCAGTTAATGGCCATCTGTCAATCCTTATTTGCAAGAGATGGATAGAAGAAACTCGAGTAAGAAAGAGAATGAATGGAGACTGAGCCCCAGTTCATATGTCCAGGTGAAACCATATCATGTAGTAATAATAGCAATAGATTTCTCATTGAGGCCTGTGCTGTAGACATACTTGGTTAAAGCTGGGCGTTCTGGCATTGGTAAAATCAGGAGGATTTTAAAAAGAAACATACACCTGGAGAACTGCAGACACTGGAGAG